GAGAGAGAGAGAGAGAGAGAGAGAGAGAGAGAGAGAGAGAGAGAGAGAGAGCCGCGGCAAGGACGAGGCACAATGGTTCGTTCGTTAAACTGACGCGGCGCCGCGCTGATACCTGCGGAAGGCAGCAAGGCGCCGCTGCCGCCTGTCGTGGAGCACGACGCGAGGTCCCCTCCCTTTTATATTTTCGCGCCTTATGCGCCCAGCGTGGACGAGCCCTATTAGTTTAGCTAGGCACCCCTGTTCTGAGGCTAGTTCGATGGCTGGCGAGTGCATCTCGGGGAGGGCTGATAAGGCCAGGGCGGCTCTGCAGCCCTGGGCCGAGCCGGTCTCTCCCGGGGCGCTGTATCGTCAGTCGTCGGCAAGCTCCAGCCTGGGTCAGATCACCGTTTGCTCCGAATCACATCAAAGGTAGGCCTGCTCATCTGTACAGAGTGTCTGTGTGAACCGATAGGGCAAGCTCGTAATAAACCTTGGTACCATATCCATCTCTATAATTCCACACTGAACCACCATATTCCTTAAAGTTACTGAGGTAGATTGGGCTACCAAAACATTGATGCAACGGCCGGGAACTCGGTAATTTTTTTTTTCTGTTCTGCCGCGACTCTGTTCTTTTTATTATCCGACCCGAACTTGTGCTGGAGCCAACTCGTCTCTCTCTTTTCTCTCTCTCTTTCCTTCTAGCTTTTAATTTTTCTCCCTTTTTTTTCCCAATTTTTGATTTAAGTGTATGTTTTTCTTTGTAGTTTAATATTGTTGTGTGTGTTCCTTGTTGTAATATGCAATTTGGCTTATGTGTGTTAGTGTTCTTGAGTGCAATTTGTGCCCCCCCCCCTCATATCCCGTTCATTTTCGTTATAAATTTTGCATTTTGATAAGTTTTCTTTAAATTTTCATTTTTTTTTCTTCTTCAATTTTTAAATTTACATGGGTTCCACTTCCAATTTCCAAAACGCTGCTGTAAAGTTCTTTGAAACGGTAACTGACATCCCAGACGAAGATCAGCCGTTTCTTGTCTGTAAAAATTTTCAAAATCTAACTACTGAAGATTCAACTGATCTTGCCAAACAAATTATCTCGGCTAAAGCTTCCTTACCGTCCGTAGTTTCGGACAACGCTAAATTAGCTATTGTTTATTTTGTGAGTTCAAATAAAAATAACACCGCCGTCCCTCTCCCGTGTGTTCAAGTGTGTTCAACAACTGAGGAAATCGCTGCAGAAGCGTCGGCCAAATTTAAATTGTTCATTCCGACCCTATTGCAATATTTAGACAAGCTTGGCAAAACAACTCCCCCTGTGTTCGATCCATTGGCTTTATTTGCACAAAACTTTCAAATAGTTAAATCTCAGTTATTGAAGAAAATGACTCCCACACTCCCCGCTGCCTTGCAGCCCCATCTGGCCCAATTTGATGAGCATGATGTTGCGTCTTGGTTACAAAAGGCGCGTACAATTTATGCAAAATTTGGGATCAAAGATGCTGATTTGCCGCTGTATTTGGAGAGCGCGCTGCCACCGTCCGCTCTTGTCGTGCACGACGCTAACAAAGATAAGCCGTGGGCAGAGTATTCAGCAGCCATCGTCGCTGCATTCAAATCTAATGTCTCTTTTGACAGTGTACGCCAGCGGCTGCTGTCTCTCCGGCGCGGTGACAGTGAGACGCTGCGCGCGTACGCGCTGCGCTTCAAGCACGCGGCGCGCTCGGCGGTCAGTGTGTCGGAGGACGATCTTTGTCGAATTTTCTTACAGGCAATCCCGCGTGATGACGCGCGCCTTGTCATGGCACAGAGGCACAGCTGCCTGCTGGACCTTGTGGACACGCTAGAAGCCGCTATGCTCCAGCGTGACATGCTAGGTGGGTTGGTAGACCCTGTTCAAGGGGCGCCCGCTTCTGCTGCTGTCAGCGCAGCGGCTGCCCCGGTGTCCAGTGCTATTTCTCTCCTGGAAAAATTTCTGGAAAAGAAGAAGGCTGAGCAGGATCAGGCCGCTGGCCAGAAACGCCTCGAGGGTCTGCTCGCGGCCGTGTGCCTTGGCACCCCTGCACCCACTACCGAAACAGCGGCGGCCGCCGGGCAGTACCCGTTCCCTGATGAAGTCAAATCTCAAATTGAAAAACTTGTTGTTGCAGCAGTTGATGAAAAGGCCAAAACTTTTTCAGGTTCTCAAAATTCTAATGGACAAAACAATTTCAGAGGCAACTTCCGGGGACGCGGTGGCAGAGGTGGCGGCTACCGTCCAAATAATTCTTACTATCCACAGGCTGGCTGGCAGCAGCAGCACCCTAATAATTTTGGGCATTTTCCTCAGCAACAGCACCCCAACAATTTTGGGTATTTTCCTCAGCAGCAGCCCCAGCCGTCACACGGCTGGAGCAACATGCCCCAGCCCCCTCCCCCTTATCAGCAAGGTGGCGGCGCAGCGCCGATGGGGAGCGTTGTGCAAATGAACGGCATGGGCCAACAAGACCCCAGATATGAGCGACCGACGCGCCCTCTTATTTGTTATTTTTGTTCAGCGCCTGGGCACAGGCAATCAGAATGTGCGTTCAAAGCTAATTTTTTAGCAAGCCAGGCCCGGCAGCAGTGAAGCCGCCGCGGCCGTGTGCTGATGATGTACCCAATTGGGTTGATTTCAAAATTGTTCCTACACCAGCAACGGGTGATTGTTTTTATCTAGCTCTTAGTTATTCTCTGTTTTCTTCCTTTAATGCTTCAGATTGTTTACGTAAAATGATTCAAATGTACATCTATTCAAATTGGCCTGATTTCTCCCCATTTATTTTAGATTTTTCTCGTGAAGAATATTTTTCACTTCACTGCCGCTCCGGCGTGTTTGCTACTATGATCCAGGTCGAAGCTCGAGCCCTATTAGTTTAGCTAGGCACCCCTGTTCACTGCCGCTCCGGCGTGTTTGCTACTATGATCCAGGTCGAAGCTGCAGCGCGCGCGCTACGTGTCCCTATCTTCGTTCGCACCCCAGCAGCGACACACCGTTTCGGCCCCAAGGTTGCACTTGGAGTCGGCCCGCCGGTGGTTTGTTTGGATTTCTTGCCTCCATATGATAGTGGTCATTATCAGTGCCTCGCTCCAGTTGACAACAGGAAAGCAGTCTGGCCGCTTGTTTGCCTTTTACGCCCGGACGGATTCTCTCGCCCCCTAGCTCTCGGCGACAAAGTGCCCCCGCTAGTTGTTCCTCCCCTCTTTCCCCCTCCCTCCGCCCACCTCTCTACAGGGTGTGCGCTGAGCCCCGAGCGGCTTCCAGCGGCGCGCTCACTTGCTGTGTCTCCCGCCCCGCGCGGCCCTGCTGGGCAGCGCGCGGTCTGTTATCTCCGGTCCGGGACGGTCCCCGCACCGCCTCCTACTGCAGCATCCCGCCGCGGCACGGCACGCCCGGATGACTGGTATCAAGTCGACAGGCGCGGGCGCTGTATCCCCGTGCGCAGCCAGGTGGCGCCTGGCACATGTCCTAAAGTGCAGCAGCCCAGCAGTTGGTCACCTGCCTCCTCTGTCTCTCTCTCTTCATTGCAGGCGGAGTGCGGTACAGTCCGAGA